CAAATAAGATCTCCAGTTAAATGGTGATAATACCTAAAATAGTTTTAGTAGATAGTGAACACTTATTTAATAAAATTATTTCACAATTTCCACATTATTTGGTAGGATTGGTTGACTTAGGTGAAAAATGACCAACAAGAAATGTATGGAAGATGCTGTGAAAGATTTAACCATCTCAACAGTATTCTTGAAAAACGCAGTATGTTACCTTCAATAGCAGACCAAAAAAATGGTCTTAAAATTCACATTTACTTACATCTTTTCTTATTTCATAAAGCATTTGAGATAGTAACATATTTGTTGAATTGAAAGCTGCCTACAAAAATGTGATTTGTGATTTGAAGAAGTAATTACAAAATGATTACTTCTAATCATTGTTTCAAAATAACATTTTGAAGTTATGAAACAGTTAAAGCTTAATTATTTAAGAATATAGAAAATTTTACTCATAATGATTGCTTTAGATTGATCTAAATAATATAGAGAATTGGGTATTCATTTCTGAGACATCAAAGCTAATAAATACATGTACAATCACTTGTCAGAAATTGACTGGCTTGGGGTTAATTTTATCATAATACATCCAGTAAAACTTTAGCTAGCACTCTTTTTTGTTGTACTTTGGAACTAAAATGTTTAAAAGTGTTATTAAAAAGTTTCTAAATTTTTCCAGGGGAATTTTTAAAAACAGTTTCTCTAGTGAAAAATCTAACTGATGGACTCAGAATATTTTCAAAATATGATGTTGCAGGGTTTTACAGGTATGTTGCTTATAACGGATAAGAGTGGGGTAGTCTGGACCCTAGGCCTTAATCTCATTTATCATGGACCTTAGGGAAATTAGCTTTTGTGTGCTTTTTACTTTTGTAAAAAGGGTGTAATATATACCCCTAACTAATTTATGTAAGGAATGTAGATAAATTGAGCTTTAAGCCCCTTTATAGAAATTATCAATGAAAATCAAGCTCATAGCAACAACAAAAGTTGCTGCTACTACTGTTTGTAATAACATTGTCATAAAGTACTTATCTATGCTTTAGAGTCTGGGAAGAAGTGGTAACTTTTTAGCATAAGAAAATTTTCTGGGCCATGAATTAGCAATTTTTAACTTTTGAAGTGCCTATGACTAGGGATTTTCTGTCTTTTTAAAAAATTTTAGAAACACGTTTTCAGAGTTAAGTTGGATGTAGAGTAATATTTTCTGTGTAATTAAAAGCCCTATGACTTTAGAGCCTTTTGTTTTGTTTTATGAGAATTGAGTTCTCTTCCCTTGAGTATTGTGACAAAGGGAAAAGTCTGTGGTTCTCTCAGAATATTTATTCTCTCTGTGGAGCTTCTTCAGGTGGGTGCCAGTTAGTTCAATACCCTTGGCATTTTTCTGCCAAAGCTAAATGTTCCTCTAAGACAAGCTGTTATCTTTTTTTTTTTTTTTTTTTTTCGTAAGCCAAGGCCTAATTTAGAGATTAATGCATAATTAGCCACTCAATACATGCTTAAACCACATGGTCTTATGAGTGATAGGATGGGCATTCTAGAAGAGTAGTTGAGTATGCAAATACATGAAATAGGCCACGCATGGTGGCTCATGCCTGTAATCCCAGTACTTTAGGAGGCCGAAGTGGTTGGATCACAAGGTCAAGAGATCGAGACCATTCTGGCCTACGTGGTGAAACCCCATTTTTACTAAAAATACAAAAAATTAGCTGGGCATGGTGGCATTCACCTGTGGTCCCAGCTACTCAGGAGGCTGAGGCAGGAGAATTGCTTGAACCAGGGAGTCGGGGGTTGCAATGACCCAAGATCGCACCACTGCCCTCCAGCTGGCAATAGAGTGAGACTTGGTCTCAAAAAAGAAAAAAAGAAAAAAAGAAAAAAAAAAAGAAGGTACATGAAGTAAGAATGATTGTGATGAAAGGTTTTAGTAGGGAAATAGTGAGAGGGAGGGCTAAAAAAAAAAAAAAAAGGATTAGAGCTTGTTTTAGACTTAGTACTTAGCTGTAGATAGTAAGCATTATTCTTTAGGTTCTTTGTCTCTCACACAGAAACTTGTAATGATCTCATTATGACAAAGTTGTGAATCTCTTCTGCAGACTTTGGGAACTAAACAAGTGCTATTCCAATAATTGCTGCTGCCCTTTTTCTTAAATTTCATTCTTGCATGTGTGCTGAGGATGGAACATTTCTGTCAGCCCTTGTGAATAGAGGCTATACTGTGCATTGCTGAGTATAGAGAGCATGTTTGTTGTATCAAGGGCATATTTTTGACTATATTAGTAATATTAGCAAGCTTTTGATGAAGCCCCAATCAACTTCTGGTGCATCTTGAGGGCACTAAATTTGTTGATGTTAATGGAGAATGGAAAATTCCTTTTAGAGGTAAAACTTTAAATATGATTTGAAATAAGGAATTTATTCCTTAAAGGAACAAACAAGAAACTATTACCTTCTGGAGATCTGAGTTTAATTTCCTGACTTAAATCTTCATATTCTAACATGCTTGGCATTTACATCTGTTGTCCATATCACTAAACCATCAGGCAGCCTGATATTTATGAGGTATGTTCCCTAGAGTGATTCTAGACTAAGAGTTTTTGCAGTTCAGTTAAGATTATGGAACAGAGTGACAAAGAAGAAATTAACATAGCTGTGACCTAATTTAAAGCAAAACAACTTTGACATGTGTTCATGTTTGATTTCTAGGTTGCTTGTTTCTTAAATGAAAAATATACCTGTCGTGCACCTTCTATTTAAAGGGCATCCTAATGACATTTCTTAGGTACTTCTTTACATGTTTTGTTCTCACTTAGAACAGTTTACATCTGTTATAATTACTTAGATACTTTTTTCTAAGTTTAAGGGATAGTTAAAAAACTGAATACAGCACACATATGTGACACCAGTGTCAACACGGATTTCTTTTTAAGTTCAGTTCTCTAATGGAAGTCGTAAAAGCAATGTTTCACAATGTTTGCTGCACCCCCTGCTGGTTGTATTGTGACATTTCCTAAATAAAGAGCATCTTTAGATACTACTCAGTGAATACTTTAGGTATATACATGATTTCTCCTTGGAGTTATTTTTTGTTTAGAAATAATTTTAGTTGCATGTTGACATATGAGTTGAAATGTTAATTGGAAACAGTTTTCTTTGTAATTTGTCAGTTGATGTTTAAACAATGCTTATCCTTTCATGTAGTATAATAATGTATTTGTTGGAGACAAAATATTTGCCATAGCCTTTTTACTAATATTTCAGATGAAATTCATTGGAGGAGAGGCATCTCCCCAAATGTCCTTGTTTTATAGTAAATAATTCTATGACGAGCATCCTTATACATAAGTCTATATTCATGTTTGTTGTATGCTAGATACAAATCTTGCAATATTCATGAAGCTTTAAGAAAGAGCACTTTGAATCTTAAAAGAGATTCTCTGAGCAGGGATTGGCAGTGGTTGGCCAGCTAGTTATAATAGCCATGAGGGCAGAGATTGTGGTTATTGGGCTCATCAGTGTGTTTCAAGCTATGATCTGGAGTCAGAGTGTTAGTGATTCCTCTAAGGGGAGAAAAAGTAATTACAGGAAGCATCATTTTCTAGTTTCTGCCATATGACGTGACAGCCATCAAATCTCAGTTTCTCAAGAACAAAATTCAGAGGTGCTAAATTAAGTGGACAAAAATCATTTCCTAAATGGTAGGTTAAGCTAAGTGACAAAAAATATAGGGCCGTTATTTATAAACATTTGAGTAAATTTTAAGTGGGATCCTGCCCTAATTTAGAAATAAGTGCATCTTCTTTAAATGAAAACATGTTTTCCTGTTACGTGTATATCCTTTATTATTTGAACAAATATTAGATTACACACATGTTCCCAAAGTGCTTTGTGTTCTCCATTATCTCAGTATGCTGAAATTGATGGCTTACTTAATTCCTCCAGTGGGTGCTTAAATTGATGCTCAGTGGATGGACGGATGTTGAATGTACTAGGACTGAGGGTAGAATCCTAATGAATCACCATGTGGCCTTTAATATCCTTTGGATTTCTACAGTAATTGCTCACTTTTTAGTACATGTGTTGTTGGATGTGGTTTTTGCTGTTTAAACACAAACATAGATGTTTTGAATACTATTAACTGATTTTATTTTCTGATAAAATCTTATTCATCCAAAATCTAGTATTCCGAATCAGTAGAAAGTCTTAATCATAGACTATTTGAAAAGAATTGTAGTTTATTAGTCATACGCTTACCATTATAACACAGGTTTAAAGCTAATAATTGGTTTTCCTAAGTTAAAGTCCTTTTGTTCTAAATTTCTGTGGTCTTGGTATAATGAAAAGATATGATCTATTAGTACATGTTAACATTATGCTATTAGTATGATAATTAGTACATGTATCTATGTAAGTAAATGATATTAAAATGCTTTGAAACAATTTCTTTTCATCGCATTTCTCCCTACAATATGGTAACCTTATTAATTTTCTTATTCCTTTCCTGTAAGGCAAAACAAACTGGTAAATTATCATAAAATCAGTGTTAGCATGAACCCAAATTAAGTCTATAAGGCTCTTTGCATATTATACTCTATAGCTTATCTGGTCATGTACAACATTATTGTGAGATGTATTTTAGACTAACAAAAAGCGGTTTTATTTCTGCCTATACTTTTATCTATAAGGTTTTGAAAGTAAATTCATACAATCAGTTTGGACCTTGAAATAATTATAGGAGTTATGAACTAGCTGATTTTGGCATGTACCTTGATTTGGCAAGTAAGGAAACTCAGGCCCACAGAGATTAGGCAAAACTTTCCAAAGTCCCAGAGCCTGAGCCACATTTTGTGATTAACCACCCAGAGTTTTCCCACATTGCTTCCCATATGAAGGATAGAGAATAGAATTATCTTATCAAATGGCCAGGAAGGGTGTTTTGCTGAATTAATTAGCTTGTAGTGTCACTGAACTTACGTGTAACATTTTCGCATTTCTCTTTGTTGCAGAATGCAAAGTATGGCGAAATCCACTAAATTTATTTAGGGGTGCTGAATATAATCGGTAAGCATTTTGACAGCTTGGGAAACAAATGGGTCTGGTTCAGAGAGCAAAGACAGCAGCAAATGTTTTTGCTGGTTCATTTAGGGGTCATTGTAACAGTCTATTTAGTGCATCCATTTTTTAATACTATGCTTAAATGTTTTGATTTTTCTGTTTTATAAATATATTAGCACTAGATTTGGGATAATGTTCAAAAATGTGTAGTTTTAGAGTTTTTCTTTGAACAGTTATTCTTTTCAGTATATGTTATACAGTCAAAACATTTTGAAGCTTACCTCTATATGGTTATAGAGATGTCATAGAAATTATGTGGGAATTTAGTTTAGCCAAATAATTAGGCAAAATAGAATTTTAATAGCTTTAGGAAAGTGTCTATTCATAATATGAATTAGGGAAGATTTTCATTAGTAATGGCTAGCAAATTTTAAGACAAAAGTACAGGGGAAAATGTTTATTTCTTTTGATTGATATAATTCCTGAAGGGAGAATAAGATGATTTAAAAAATATTTTGTATTCAGTAGCAAAGCTATTTTAGTATTCCATTAATGGTCTATATTTCAATTCCTCTGCAGCTTAGTATTTTATAGGTCTTGCTTTTCTCTTTCGAAAGTGTCTAATAATCTTATTTTACCTTGGCAGGTATACTTGGGTGACAGGACGAGAGCCTCTTACTTACTATGACATGAATCTCTCTGCCCAGGACCACCAGACATTCTTTACTTGTGACTCGGACCATCTGCGTCCCGCAGATGCAAGTATGAAAAATCCATACATCCTTCTGAGTAGGAAGGTTTTTTTGGCTTAAGTATCAAGATTTCTGCTTTTACAATACCTATTCTGTAACATGCCAATGAATAAAATATTGTTGATTGACTAAGAACCCAGAAATCTGAAATAATTAAGTAAACCTTTATCACAATGACGTATTGATGTAGAAATGAGTCTCCTCATTATAATTTGAATCATGATTTAAAAAAAATCAAAGTTGGTTTTATATATTTTAAAGAAATATTAATCTTCCATGAAGCTAATGAAATTCTTGGTTGAGTTAGCATGAGGAGTCTTATCTCTTTTATGATATTCAAAGTAGAATTTGGAATTCACTGGATTCAAATGATTAATGAATATATTTTGGTGACTTTTATCTGCATATTTATGGGTTAACTAGCATCAACTGGCATCATGGCCTTGGCTGTTGGAGTCCAGATGTATTTTTCCATCCGAGCAAATACTTTGTTTAGTGTTCATTATACATTAGTTGAGTTTCAAATAATTCAACTGAAATTTTTTTGTTATAAAACTTACGCAATGTAAATTGGTGAAAATAATGTTTTTAAAAAGGAATCCCTCTACATACTCTAAAATAATTTTATTTATTTATTTATTTATTTATGAGACGGAGTCTTGCTCTGTCATCCAGGCTGGAGTGCAGTGGCACATTCTCAGCTCACTGCAACCTCCGACTCCCTGCTTCAAGTGATTCTCCTGCCTTAGCCTCCTAAGTAGCTGAGATTACAGGCAAGTGCCATCACACCCAGCTAATTTTTTGTATTTTTAGTAGAGACGGGGTTTCACCATGTTGGCCAGATGGTCTCGATCTCCTGACCTCGTGATCCGCCCGCCTTGGTCTCCCAAAGTGCTGGGATTACAGGCGTGAGCCACCACACCCGGCCTCTATAATAATAATTTATAAAATACAAATTTATAAAATAAATAGATAGTTACTCCTTTTTAAAATGGTACTCTTTGCTATGGTAGAAACATATAGTAAATATTGCTCAACATTGAGCTTCCCACAGTATGTTCAGAAACTGCTCTGATGTATAAAAACTAGGTTTGCAGTTAAATTTGGGATATAAGTACACATGTTAAGCAAAAGCTTAAGCATTTTTTACTGATCCACACATGATTCTTGAAATGGTTTCAGAATGTTCTGTCACTAAGAGCCTGTATTAAGTGCTTTGGAAATGACCAATTATGTTGTATATAAGTGAAAGAAGAGGTTAGTAGCAATTTCATCTCAAAATGTGTAAAATAATGTATGCTCCCCAGAAACAAATGACATTAATATGCAAAAGACAGGTAACATCTCTGTTAGAGTGTGTTTTCTTGATTTCCTTAGCCTGTAGTTTTGTGAGCGCAAAAAAGCATTGCTATCAGCAGTTAAAATACAGTGGAATAGCAAATTAATACATTAATGTGACTTTGGAGATTTTGGCCAACCCTCTTAGTAATGAAATATTTTCTTGTAATTTAAGCTGAAGGTCCTAATTTAGCTCTTGTCCTCTACTGAGTCTACCTAATTATATGTATTGACTTGGTTTTTTCTCTTTTTCCTAAATAGTAATGCAGAAAGCCTGGAGAGAGAGAAACCCCCAAGCTAGGATTTCTGCAGCTCATGAAGCCTTGGAGATAAATGAGTAAGTGGGGGAAAATCTTGCTATTAAAAAGGAAATCTCATCCTTTGCAGAATATATTCAGTTGCCATTGATAGGATACTTAAACTGCATTTGACTTGGAGGATTATTTGGGGAGTTATTACTTTATTTAAAAAAAGTTTTTTAAAAATGAAGGACAGCCATGTGGAGGTGGTTTTAGTCATTTTAGAGAGAAATTGAGTGGCTTTGCTATGATCCTAAATTAAATTCTTGAAGGGGCTATCCCTAGGATATTGTGAGGATATAAAATAAATATAATTCTTTACTAAAACATTTTGACAGGGAAATTTTTCCAGATGTAGAATGCTCATCTGCATCATAACATTTTCTAGTAGAACTTCTGCTAGTGGGGAAAACGTAATAACAACATAAGATAAAAAGAAAAAAAAATTAGAAAATATTTCAAGAGTAAGACAAAGATAAGAGGAAATTCTGCCTTGAGTGTTGTTAAACATTCTATGGGTTACCAAGGAAGGCTGGGAATCTCTTCTGGAGATCTGAGAAAATGAGAAAGATTCTTAAAGTTGGAGTCATAAAAACTCAGGGTTGGCAGAGACCTTAAAGGTCATTTAGCTCAACCACCCATCTGGTGCTTGAATCACCTCAACACTATCCTTGCCAAGTGGTCATTGTTAAACTATGTTATGATTTTTCTGAAGAAGGTTACAGAATCTTCTTCAGAGGTCTTAGGGAAAAAACAAATGGTCTTTAGAGTCGGAAATCCTGCCATTGTGACCAGTTGATCTATGGTTTCTGATTCTGTTATACAACATATTTATTTTCCAGTTTCTTGTCATCTACAAATTTGATATGCCTGCCTTCTGTGTGTCATCCATGTTTCTGAGAAAAATATGAGGGCCAGGAATAGAGCCCTGTGACATGACATATAGAAACTACCCTCCAGGTTCATGTCTTCATGAATCACTATCTTTTGTATTGTTCACTCAATTACTAAGCCACCCAGTTACACTGTGACTCAGCCCATGTTTCTCCATTTGGATCTTAAGAATGCCAACTGTAGCTATGGATCTGAAATTTATAGTAAATCTATTAGAGTAAATTAAGCTAGCACAATCTGATTTATTTACTCTTAGTAAATTTAAGCTGGCTTCTAGTGGTCACTACTTTCTTTTTAAAGTGCTTGGAGACCATCCCTTTAATAATCCATTAGAGTATCTTTCCAAATCACTGTGTTCCATAGTTTGGGAAGTCTGCCTTCTTCCCCTTTTTGAAAATTTTATGCTACATTTATCATCTCATCTTCTAGCACCTCTCCATTCTTTGTGATTCCTCAACTATCCACAGAGAGCAATTCCATGGCCTGCCTACAAGGTCTTTTGGTTTCCTGGGATTTGCCCATCCAGTCCAGTAATTCATTTAGAATGGATCAATTATTTGCTATCTTACATCTTTTTACCCATTTTAGAGTTTAATTTCTTCTCCCTTTTTCAGTCTGACAGTCATTCTCCTTGTTAGAGAAGCCAGGAACAAAATAGGAGGGAGAGAGGTTTGCTTTTTCTTTATTATCTACTGCTGTTAACAATAAACCTTCCTTGTTTTGATGTTGTGTTGTTTGTCTTTTTTTGCTTATTTGCTTTTGTGACATGGGGATGGTGATAGGGCATTAAATGTGATTTTAAAACAGGGAATAAATGATTGTCTTTAGTATTTTGTTTTGTCTTCATTATTATTATTATTATTTTGGCAAGCTTCAGCTAATTTGGAATTTTAGCTCTCCTGACATTATTCTTCAAAGCTCATTCCACTCTCTTACAGACCATCATTACATGCCCTCTTTCCATCTTTTAAAGTGTGTCCTTTAAAAATCTGACCTGGGAGGAATCTCTGTGAAGCCATATTGGTTAAGTGCTGCCTGTCTTTTCTTCCTGAGATGATCATTTGTGATTGCAGTTACAGTTGAACATTTGGAAGCTGCTCAACCCTCTTAAGCCATTTTCCTTCTGAGTCTCATGCCATTGAATCATGCCTCTTTTCTTTGAATTTTTTGAAGTCCACCTTCCCCTCTTTGATTACGCTGAACTCCGAAATGACATAGTGACTCTCTCTGAATGTTCCTATCAATTTTCATTTTACCAACTATTTTTTTCTTCTTGGTCAGAATTAGGTCCAGAGTTGAAGTTCCCCTAATTGCTTCCTCTACCATCTGGGAGATAAAATTGTTACCAAAGTAAGTCAAGAACCTGTCGGGTGCCCTACTTCTAACCAATTGAGACTTCTAGTGGATATCTGGATGGTTGACACCCCCATCACCACACTTTCTTGCTTCTGTATGTGTATTGTGTTGTGACAAGGATGCATCATCTATATCTTCCATCGAGCTGAGCAGTCTGTTCTGTACTCCCCAACCATTAGCACTTCTATTGCTCTCTCCTTTTTCCTTCACTCACAAGCTCTTAGCATGTTTCTACCCCAAACTCATGAGTTTCCACATAGATGTATGTTTCTTGGCCAGTAGGGCTACTCTGCCTCTCCTCTAAGAATACCATTTGAAATATAAATAAGCAAGCAAGCAAGCTACCCCCAACCATTCTTGGGTTCCCAGCCCAACACCTACAATCTTATAGCTAATTCCTCTGATACTGTATCTACCACTCAGTATTACAATCTCAATTTTCACTTCATTACCCTTGCCTCATATTTATATGTCGGCATCTGAAGCCTTAAGCATTTCTTCTGATGCCTGTCCCAGTTATTTTCTCCTGTGAATCACTTGGGTAGTTTCAGCATCATTATGGTTCTTTCCAAGTCATGGATGCTGCCATCTGTAGAAATTGGTTTTACAGCTTTTTTTCTGGGCATTTTTCTCCCTACCTCACCACATTGTTTAAAGCCCCATTGATAGTTTCTCCCTGAAATTAGAGAGATTGGCTAAAGAATTACAGACCCTTCCTTAAGGCCAAGTTTAACTAGTAGCCCCAAACCTCACTTTAGCTGTGAAGTTCAGCCTCCTTTTCCTAGCTGGCTATTGCAGTTTGTTGACAGTGAAAGTAACATTTGGTTTTACTTTCTGTTTATTTTCTCTCTTGTGGTCTGATGGAAATAAGTAGGGAAATGGCCACAAGTGAGGCAGTGGAGAAGGAGAGTGAAGGGATGGGTGCAGGACCTGTGTGGTCTGTTACAGCGTCACCACTTCCCTGTTACCTTCCCTTTCTTTGGCAGTGGATTGTTCCTTATATGCTTTGGAAGGTTTAAATTCCCAAGAACTCCCCTTGTTCATTAATTATCCTTTTGGTTTCATACTTTAGAGGGTTGTTGAAAGGATTACATGAGATGATGTATGTTAAGTGCCTGGTACAGTGCTTAAGATATACTGAGCAACAAGTGGTGGTAGTTATTGAAGGCATGAGATTTAACTCTTGTTAGCTATTGTGGCTGAGTCATATTTTGAGCTCTTCAGAAATAACACGACTTGTAGGTTCTTCCTGAAGCAGAAAGTCAGTGCTAACTGTAAAGAGATGTTGAAGCACTGTGGTTTTCTTTTTTTTTTTTTTTTCAATGAATAACTTGATTTAATGAATTTCTTATTCTGAACAAATCCTTAGATTGAAGAGAATCTGTGTTTAGTCAACAGAAGTAAACCTGCATATAGCACCTCTAACTTTGAGTGTTGGAAGGAACTGTTTAATAATAGCTGTTATCACCATCGCAAGCTGACATTTATTGAGCACTTAACCACATGCTGGCTACTGTACTGAGCACTTTACATGCATCACCTTACTTACCCTTCACAACAACACTGTGAACAAAGATTCCATGTTGTTCTCCATCAGGGAGGCAGAGTAAGAACTTGCCCAACGTGGCACACTAATAAAGGGTGGAGTCCATACGTGAGCCCCATGCTCCTAACACTATGCATCCTACCTCTCAAGCCAAAATACAGACGTTTCTTTTGTACCATTATTTTGTGTCAGCAACTACAAACCAAGTGCATGAACCAGTTGGCCACTCTGCATGTTTTGGCGTAACTCCTTGCCTTTCTGCATGAGCTCCCACAGTCTATTACCATGTCCTCGGCTTTGTAATTGATGGTGGCTATTATCTGAATGAACAGGTGTGCAACTGCTTATATTCTGTTGGCTGAAGAGGAAGCAACAACCATTGCTGAAGCAGAAAAACTATTTAAGCAGGCCCTGAAGGCTGGAGATGGCTGTTACCGACGTTCTCAGCAGCTACAGCATCATGGATCCCAGTATGAAGCCCAACATAGTAAGGTTTCCTCCAGGTTGATGCATTGGGGGATCAGATTTGTAAAAATTATTCATTAGAGCAAATTTTTAGTCCAATTCAAAATATGATTCTCCTAGACATGAGAAAATATTGGCTTTTGCTTTTTTTTAAATACTTCTTTCCTATAAGTATAGTTAGTAAATAATTAACATATAGCTTCATTACTGTTTATATTAACATTCTCTTTCCTGCCCATAGATTCCTAACCCCAGAAATAAATGGCAGTAACCTTTAATGGTAACCTTTTCCCCTCCTGAATGCTTATATATTTCTGTTCATCAGTTGCTTCTGCTCATAACTTTAAGACCCAGTTGGGAAACAGAATTTAAATTAGCCATAGTGTTATCAAAGATTTTATCTTACAGATCATCTACAACATGGATTGAAATAGGACAATTAAGAAAATAACAGTTATTGGTGATTGTATCAGCATTTATCTCTTATGTAAGAAACATTGGTATTGGCTTCCAGAGAGAAGGAGCCATGAGCTCTTACTTATCTTTTCTGTATTAAAAATAATACCTTTTTAAACAAGAAAAAGGAAAAAAAATACCCTTTTAACTTTAAGATAATTTTAAAATCTGAGTCCTTTCACTTCAGTGCACTAAACTGAAAGTCAATGACATTTTGGAGGGGGTAACACTATAGATACAAAACAACAAGATTGTTTCTGGAATTTCCTGAGCCCCTCAACTCATCAGTTTGTTGGTTGTTTAAACAGAAATTTAGCCATCCTTATGGTAAGAGAGTAAGTATTTCCATGGTCCAACCGAAATTTGAGAGTATTTCTATGGTCCAACCAAAATTCGCAGTTATTTTGTTTCTCACTTAGTTTCTCCCTCCTGAAACTTAGAGAGTAGGAATGTATGTCCTTCATATTGGAGATTATAAAATTAAATTTTAATGTTAAACTTGGATTTGGTGTATAAACTGACTGCATTAGTCCCTATAACTAAGGTGCCAGCAAGATCTTTGCATTATAGCCTGCATATATGTGAGTATGTCCACACCTGTACCTTATCAATACCAAGGTTTTTATTTTTATTCTGTAGCGTATGTATGCTAATAAAGTCTCTAAACACCATCTATGTCTTTTTAATTAAAAAAAGTATTTTAATGTAATGCAATACATTTTGAAGACATGTAGTCAATGTGCATTTTGTGAACTAAATGGAAATCAATACATAAAATTACATAACCGGTAATACAACTTAAATTTTCTTTCTTTTCTTCTCTAAATTAAATCCTTTCAACCTGTTGCCTGAATCTATCCAAAAATATAATCACATTTTAAAAATAATTTGTAGGTACTTGGCAGATTTTCAGCACACATCTTGTTCTCATTGTTTAAAACTTGAAATGTTAGGACTTTAGTCTTAATGTCTTTTAATAGCTGCATATTATACATGTGCTTAATCTATAACAGGTGTGTCATATTTTTCTCAAACATGGTAATTTTATCGAGGATTAAGCACATGCATGTTCTCACTGGTCTGGAAACATATCCAAAAAGACATATAATTAAATAAAAGATTAAGACGAGAAATTGTTAATATACTTTTTAAGAGTCATTTTACTGACAATTGTTATAACTAGCTTGTCAATTCTTTCTCTAACACTAAGGTAGTTTTTCATTTTGTTGCATACTCTATTGTCATATCTGGAATGTGTTATATTGCCATCTAAAATCAACTGCTTTGGGGACCTGGAGATGATTATGATGTCACTAGTGTTAGGGAAAAAAATAATAAAAAGCAGAAGTTCAAGATGAGGCTTCTCCAGACTTAATGTCAAGAATGAAAAAAAAATAGTTCATCAGGATGCAACCCGAGATTCACCTCTGCATCTTTACCAAAAGAATGCACACTTGAAGAATGTGGAATTCCTGCTTGTAAACTGAATACAATGTGGGTATGTTCATTTTCACAGCACTTTCTGGCAGATGATTTTATTTATTATCAAATGTTTAACATCCTAACTCAAAAGCATGGATTAGGTAATCAGTCACATGATTTGACTTTTGGGAGTATAAGTACTTTTACTTTACTCTGTATTGATTCTACTATTAACAAATTGTCAATGCTCTGAAGTTTTCCTTTAGGGGCACAGCAAATGGGCCTCTGTTTTTTTTTTTTTTTTTTTTTTTTTTTTAATTTTGGTGTTTTTTTGTCTCCCTCTTCAGGACGAGACACCAATGTCTTGGTGTACATCAAAAGAAGGCTAGCAATGTGTGCCAGAAGACTCGGGAGGACCAGGGAAGCAGTGAAAATGATGAGAGATGTGAGTTTAAGTTTGTGTTTGAGATCAGTGGCTTACAGTTATAGGAGCCCGCTGCGTGGCCATAGCAGTCTGTACCAGTGGTGGTGTGGTGGTTCCATGGGTTCTGAAGTCAAACTGTGTGGGATTCAACTCTAGTTCCCAATTTACTAGATAAAGGATGTATGTTCGGCAAGTTACTCAACTTCTCTTTGCCTTAGTTTCTTCATCTCTAAAATGGGAACAACAATAACAGTCCTCAAAATTACTTTTTAGAATGTTTTTGAGCACTAAATGAGATAATACATACAACGCTTTTAATAGGGTGACTGGCCTATTTTAAAAATCTCAATAGATGTTCTTATTATCAAACCTTTGGGGCTGCAGCCGGAAGCCAATAATGAGATCAGCCATGTTAGCTAACTGATTTTTTTTTTTCCTGTATAGTTGTTAGGAAGATTTGAATTAATTATCGGTAAAATTACTACTCTTAAATTTAATATTATGAGCTAATCCTGTTGTAGTTGTTTCAAGCATTTTCCTAGATTCTTGAACTAGGATACTTTATTAGTAGTAGTCAAGATAAAAATTAAGAAGAGAGGAAATACGTGGAAGTTTTAAAACAAAAGAGAACCAAAGGAGGTTATGATTATTTAACTTTAAAACAAAACAGAGGCTTTAAGGGAAACCAGTTGGGAAACTTTGATTTCCATGTTTTTTGTTAGTAGGAAATGCTTTTCATGAAGAAATTGACACCAGTATGAATTGTATTTATAGGCTATTTTCTTTTTAAAAACAATCTCAGAAAACCTTTGTCAACATTTCATTATTTTGCTGAATTAGAAGACATAAATAACTGTGTATTATAAAAATGAAAGAACCAAGGGGCAAGATAAAAGTGGCCTCTTGCTCAATTCTCAGCTCATGGATTTGAGCACAGGAAGACTGCACACTTGGTGAGCTTTTTCTCAGTTTGTCTTTGGAAATACAGTTATTCTTGTGAATTCCTGGTTACTCTTTGGAGGAGGGAGCGCCAGCACTCCAGGCTCACCCCTGGTTGTTTCTGCAAGTTACAGCATGACGTGAGAAGGCCCAAGTGAGGCTCACGCTTTGGTTTTGGCCACTCCATTAAGCAACAGTATAGCCCCCAAATCTGGGGAGAGGAAAAAGAAGGGAAGATTATAAAGTATTTCTCTTCGACTGCAGGTGATAGATGCTTTCTAGGCCAAGCCACTGCAGAAGGAATCTCCCTCAATTAAATTATTTTTGTTGAAGGAAGAATTCAATGAATGTTATATAAGTGCTAATTTTAAGAAAAGGAGATTTCTGCCAAGATATGAACTTGCTCTCCAAGCTTTTTGACTTACAGAAATTCCATCCTTTGAAATACTTCATCCTTCTACCAGTCATTTTGGTGCTGAAGGAGCTGGGAATTTTAGAAAGGATCAGGTGTTTCTCTGTCTTAACCTGGCCCAGCCGCATTCAGCCTTTAACAGAATTTTCTTAACTTTAATTTGCTTGGAACAGGCATGTATTGAGGAGCTAATTTTGGTGATTTTCTTGAGTGCTTAGGTAACTTAATAGGAAGAACAAATTCTGACGATTTTAATTTCAGTTTTTTCTGTCAGTCTCCTGCTTATCATTTTCAATGCATACAATTAAAATTTCATGTGATTAAAATCAGTACATCTACATTATGATTTGCTTTTTGTTTACAATTATTTTATATTAATAATTCCATTGATTGGCCTAGTTCACATATAGATCTTGGGGGAAAGATGGATCCAGTGGCAGAAACACTGGACAGGAAATCAAAACACCTGGATGTGGATCTCAGCTTTGCTCTTTACTAGCTCGTGATCCAAGGCAACTTCCTTATTAATACCTTTTATGGGCTTTCATTTAGTCTTCTGTATATTGAAGATAATGATTCTACCTGAAAGGATAATTGATGGGGAGAATTAAATAAGATAATGTGTAAACACCTGACATAGAGTAGGCATGCTTACAGTTTTTTTTCCTGTTTTTCTCCATTATGTAACTATGTCATCATTTGCTTGACCATTCCTCTGATGGACATTTTATGATATTTCTAATTCATTTTCTTGAATTAATTGATCACTCAGTTCATCTCTCTCTTCCTCTCTCTATTTAATCTCCCTCTCCTCTCTCTACATATGTGTATACACATATATATTTATGCATGTTTGTATATGTATATATGTACGTTCTTATATTACATCTGGATCTGTCATATTCTTAGAATACCAATACATGTGGTCCTTTTTTTGAGTTTATGGAGCATCCAGTAGACACAGGCCCTCTGGTGTAACAATCCTGTAAGGAACACTCTGACATGGTAGATACATGTTTTAAAGAGAAATATTCAAAGTGATCCTTCCTTCAGGGACTCCTTTTATCAATCCTTGCACCATGAACAGAGGAGGGAAGGTCGAGGATCCTTCTTTTTGTTAAAGCTGTGGCTGGTCTCAGCCTTGCAGGAGACAGTTGTTGGTGAGGCCTAATTTGTTTGGCTCCTTTCTGGTCATGGGTCATAGATAATTGCGACTTCACTGAGAGGTTCACTCCTTTAGCAGCATGCACATAAACCATCTTGCTGGAAGACTTTCTCTGATAAAACAGCCCAGTAGATTCCAGACAGCCTGCTGATAGAGTTTTAGGCAGGATGATCTAATTTCTCATTAAGACACAGCCATCCTCTCACCATATGCATGAGTTTAAACTTTCCTAGAGCAGACTTCAAAGTAGAAATAGAAATGTCAAGAGTTAGAATGCCTTCCATGTAGAAAGTAGAATCATTTAAAGAAATTTCTCTGGAAACACCTTAAGGAAAGGGAAACTTAATTGGTAAGAGATTCTGAATAAAAAAATGAAACAGAATTCTGGGAAGGCCAGCAGTAAATAATTTCTTAAATTTTCATGGCAATACGCCTGTGAAATGTTGATAAGGTAAACACATTGGCTCCTTAACATCAAAATTCATCACTTATTTTTTGAAGTAACACATTAATTATTTTGAATTCCCAGGATGTTTTTTAAAAAAACTCATTTTGATTAGCTTCCTTTTGCAATCACAAATATGGAAGCAGCACCTTACTGCTGAGGGAATATTTTGGCAGTAGGCAGGGCTAAGAAAGCATGTTGGCTTTCTCTTTCTTTTCTTTTCCTTTTTAAAGACAGGGTCTCAGTCTGATGCCCAGGCTGGAATGCAGTGGTGTGATCTTGCTGCAGCCTCCACTTCCCAAGCTCAAGCCATCCCCCAACCTCAGCCTTCCAAAGAACTGGGAATACAGGTGCACACCACCAAGACTAGCTAATTTTTGTATTTTTTGTAGACTGGGTTTTGCTATGTTGCCCAGGCTGATCTTGACCTCCTGGACTCAAGCAATCTGCCCACTTCGGCCTCCCAAAGTGCTGGGATTACTGGCCTTCTATGCTGGCTTGTCTACATCACTGTAATGTAAGATGTTGTTATTTAAAATGAAAAGGATTGCATTTTCTGCTTTATTAAATTTAAGGAAAGGTCTTTCTGCTTGCTCTCTTGTTGGTAATTTTGCCTCTTTAACATTTAATATACAGCAGAATTTCTTTTTTCCTTTTGACATCTACTGTTTACCTAACCTCAGGTTTTCCTTCTGTCTTTCCCTGCCCCTATTTGAGTAGATTTGGAAGGAATGTCATAGGTCTGATGACCATGGTCTAGTCCCTTAACCATACACTGTCAGAACTGGCATGGTTAAACTAATAAGGATGGGATAGATTGCCTGTATGAAAGAGCAGTATCATGTAGACAGAGGCAGTCAATAAAATATTTGAATTGGCAAGTCAGAGAGCTATGGCTTACAAATTCCCAGTTAAGGCGTTGCACCTGTGACCTTTGATGCCCGCTTCTTGTTGATTATTACACCTCTTTCTTGCTGGTTTAATTCTGATTGTCTACCTTCCTTGAAAGTGATAATATTTATTTTAAAAATAATGTAAACTAAAATGAGTTCTGCTTAGAAAATTATTGCTGATGCTCATTACATACCCTTTTTAGGTCATTAGAGGTATATTGGGGTGATTGACCTTTGGGAATTAGTGTGATAGTGTGAGGATGCCCTTTAAATGATTTATGAAGAGGAGCACGTCTAATGAAAGCATACTTTAGAAAATATACACCTCCAAGACTAATCAAAGTCTGTAGAACATTAAGTACTGTTGATTTGCATTTGGGCCCACTTACGTTCATGAGGGGAAATCTTTATGAAATCAATGATTTGTAAAAGAGAAATACTATGTTCTTCCAAAATTGTTTGTAAAACATATTTTAGAGAATATTTTACAACATAAATGCTGTTTTCATTGCAAAGGTATAAAGATCTTTTTAGGAGGAAAAATGTGAAATGAATGTTTTGGAGGTAATTTCTATTGCCTTTTCTTTCCCCTTTTCCTCATTCTTAAGTTTCCTAGTTCCTTCCTTCTCTGCCTTTCCATTCCAAAGGTCACAGTATTTCCCCTGTATACAGTATTCCTTTTTTTTTTTTTTTTTTTTTTTTCCTTAAAATTGTCATGGATCATATTGGTAGCCTGGCTGATAAATTGATCTCAATGTTGTTAAGCCTGAATGTCAAAGAAGTAAAGGACCATCATGTGGGGATGGGGAGTGAGAAGAGTACCTGTAATACCTCAGGCAATCAAGTGTCACTTGAACAGTTACTTTGAAAGCTTTGACAATACGCAGGTGTAGCATTGAACTAAAGACAGAGTATACAGTGAAATATGTTAATTCCTCTAAGTGTTTCTGAAATGATTGTTGGCATGTTTCTAGATTTTCTTTGCTACACTTACAAATAAAGAAAAAGTGAGTCTTGAAAGTGGATACTAGACATAAAACCACACTGATGTTCAAAGTTCTTTGTATCAACCCCTGCCTTCTTTTTGATCTGAATTGCTTTTCTGGATTTGCCTGATATTGTTGTTTAAGTTTACTTACTCAGTAAATTATTGACAATTTGTGTGTC